GGAGAATGACAAAGAAAAAAAAATGAGAACACCCATTGAATATACATCAGATTTTTCTGAATAATTTGAATGACGATTATTTCGAAGAATTTCTGGTGCACAATATCGAATTGGAATAACTAATTCATTTTCATGAGCAGGTGGTTGATCGATCCAACGTGCCAGACCAAAATCAGTTATTTTAACTAAATTTTGTTTTGGTTCAGATGAATCCAATTGAAAAACCAGTACATTTCTACAACCTAAATCACCATGTACAATTTTTTTACTTGCAATATAACTCATTGCACCAGCAATCTGTAAAAACATTTCGATTAATATCGTTTGAGAAATAACAAATTGATTATCCATTAAGACACCAGCTAAATCTGTCAACCTCGCAAATTCTTGTATAAATATTGTTAAATTTAAACTATTTTCAACATAACCAAGTGTACTAATAATATTATGATGACCATTTACTTCTAAATAAAAAAGAGCTTCACGCGTGGCAATGGCTTCGTTCATTTCAACAATAATTATTGGACCATCGCGTCGTGATATCCATCTGCCTTCATATATTATTTTTCCTGACATTCCATAGAGTTGATGTCTTTTTCGAACATCAGTACCAAATTGATATTTTTCTAAGTTATACTTTGATAATATGGCCATGGATTCGTTGAAAATGTGTTTTTACTTAAATGAATCTAATAAATATCAACTCTGAAAGAATGATAGGATGTCATATAAATTCATAATATATTAGAAACCACTGTATGAATAACATGGAAAAAACGTGTTGAAGTTAACGAACTAATTGTTAGACTAGGCTGATCATTTTTCTCAGTTTGAACTTCTTCTAAATACTTGTGAATTTTGTTGTTCGACGTCAAAAGAATATTGAAATAACAATTCGATGAAAACAACTCAGATATTCTCTATTTTTCCGGAAAATAAGATCAAATCGATTGCAAGTTACAATTAGTATCAACTTGAATAGTAGTTGATGATTTTTCAACACTGAACGAACATAGATATTTTACTTCAGTTATGATCGACCATAAGAACATTTTATAAAATTATAATTTTGTATAAAATATGAAGAAAGAACACGATGGAGACATATGACTTATCTAAGCTTCAAATTATGGTCTAGAGAATAGTAAGAAGAACAGTCGACTAGGCCTATGAGCAGTTAGCATATTTAGATCTCTCATGAATCTTTTGCGGATATTCACCAATGATTATCTTCACCCGAGTAATTTAGTGGATATTAAAAAAAGTTAGTTGAATTGAAATTCTTCATACGTTAAGATTGTTAATATTTACTCAATTCCTCATTTTATTATCTGTATCTGAATTTTATAAAGTAGTTGGTTGTGCAGTAACGTTTCGAATATCTTCTCAGTGAACAACAACAAAAAAAGACGAGATTTTTACCTATAATATTAATAACATTTGGAGTTTCAACTGTAGCAATACATTGCTTTGTCTGCTCTTCCGAAACAAATAACTTGAAAGAAAGAAAAGAAGCATACCTTTGTAATAGTTAGCTTTCTCCACATGCGTTGTGATGGGGACGTGTGTGTTTTATAGTAACAGAGAAGAACGAGAAAAATTGCTTTCAATTCTAAGTCGTAAATCCCAAGAAGTATGATTCATTTTTTTCAACGAATTGTTCAAAGTTAGGTTCTTTTTACTAGTAATGATTCAAGAGAACTCATATCAAAACTGTTCGATGGCTATCTGAAGAGAAAGACATTTGGAAAAAAGCATTTCAACACTGAAAAATATAGATTTTATTGTTTATTATATAAATATCGCTGTGAAGTTACACCGGTTGATGAAATTATAACTTTGTCAACAATTTTGACGAAGTTAAAATTGCGAAAAAAAAAATTCGTCGAAACCATTTTAGATCAACTAAATATTATATAATTATCGATTAATTGATAATATCAAGTCAACATACACGTATATGTATAGTTAGTTTTGCATTTTAAAACGATACATACCATTTTTATAGATCGATATACAAGAAAGCATTCAGAGAAATGAGACATTTTGTTTGTTATTACTGTACATAATTTCAGATCTATTCAAATAATACTAAATTTTGTAACTAATGACATAGATCTCTAGAATACTAAGGTCTTGATTTATAACTAGAATACTTGAGCATATGATTTGAACAGTTTTCTCAGTTTATTTTATTCCGAAATGTATTGGGTTTTTTTCGTCAATTTCGGTGTTCAGTTTTACATAAAACTTTAAGACTAGTTATTTAGATAAGTTAGGAATTTAGCTGGGGGTGAAAACGAACGCAAAATCAATGTGAAAACCAATTAGCTCATACTGTAGAATAAGTACGCTCGATTATGGTTCCATTCTAGTGCAGTCAAAATATATAATATTCTATGAAAGATAAATCCGATTGTTTGAATATATTTCATAAATCTCATTTATATCAGACTGTGATGCATCAATGACACTGACATATGGAAAATATGGAAAAAAACAAGCCAGATGAAGTGTATGTTTGACTCAGTAAGAGTTTAAGCTTGCCAAGCATTCAACTTGCTTTTCATGAATTATTTTTCTTATTGTTATAAAACTACAGTCTAGTTCATATCAGAATGCAGTATTCTAAATATCTATTTCATTAGCTCTACAAAAGTTATTACTGTTTGAATAGATCTGACATCATGTTCAGTATGAACAAAACCGAATATCTCATTTCTCTGATTCTATTTAATATGATTATTTCTTTTTCGCGTTAGTTTGTTGTGCTTATTTGAATTGTGTTAATACTAGTAGTAAGAAAAATAAAAAGCATTTTGCGAATTACAAATCACAAAAAGAAATCTTCCTTTTTTTAGCGATTTTCTTTGATTTGGATTGACTGTACTCATTCAAAAATTAAATAGTTTTTCAATAACTTTCTTTGTCAAAGTCTATTGAAGATGGATTGTCAGTTTATTAGATATCGAGAAATTTATTATTTTTCGTTTTTTATTTTCAATCAACTATTTATTAGAAAATATGTTTGCTTTGACATCTCTGAAAAAAAGGTTTATAAAAGGCCAATAGATTTTATTCATTTCCATTAAACAGAATGAAAAATATCGTTAATACAATTTATCATTCACTGTTTTTATTTGATTTAATACTAAACAACTTTAAGTTTGAATAGAGAAATCGAAGGAATCATTCATACTATTTCATATGCGTAGATATTGACAATTCGTCTTGAAATAACTACTAGTTCTTCGAACGAAAGAAACTAAAGCACGAACAAATTGAGCCCAAAAAAGATCTACAATAAAAATATTTGATAAACATATCATAAAAACAATAAATTGAAATGAGGAAATACCTTGATTTTGATGGACATAATTCCTAAAAGCAAAATGAAAGATATACCTTAATGAAAGCGTTTGTCTAATTCGTACCTCATGGGCATTTATTCTATCTCGTGAAACTTGTTGATTACAATGTTGACATTGAATATACTTTGGAAATCTACATCAAATATATATAGAAATATTATGATAACTATTGAAAGGTAAAAATTTACGCACTCATTAATATTATTAAAAGTAGAAGGTTTTTGTAAACATTTTCTCTTAAAAAGACAATATTAAATAATAAAATTGACAATTTTCGTTTTACCTTATGATCAGCTAATTTATTGTCTAGAAATTGTTTTTTACAATTTTCACATTTGACATAATTGGATACTGGTCTAAGTAAAGAGAAAACACAAACTAATTAATTTGATAATCATTGAAAACTAATTATTCACATACTCAAAAGTAATGGCAGGAGGAGAAATAGATCTTTGACGACAAACTAACTGCATGATCACCAACAATATCATATGATAAAACTTAAGTTTTTATTTATACCTGATGTTCTTGTATCAAACCGTCTGGATATAGTTCACTACAATGTATACATGAAGAATACTCATCATGTCTATAGAAAAAAATCTTTCGATAAATAAGTAAACATACAATTGTTGATTTACTTTTTAGGCGGCTGGACAGATTTTGGCTTCATTGTGCATGATGTCTTTAATAGTCAATGTAGATTAATTACGTAAATAATCTAAACAGTACCTGATGATTTTTGATAGTATCGGCTGAATAATTATTATGACAATAATTGCACGGAACAAAGCGAATTATATGTCTATAGAAAAAGAAAATGGTATCTTGATGACAATCAAACATTGAATGCTTATTTACTCAGGAACATTGACAGAAGGTAGCGGAAGTACACATGAATTCTTTTGATGATTGGTCATCTCATTTTCAGGAATATAATTGCCACAACGCTTGCAATGTATAAGACGGACTGGCCTATGTCAATGAAAAATACAACTAATATTGAAATGATCGAAGGAGCTATTTAGAGAGTTATTTTGCACGAAAAAAAAATATTCTGCAGGAAAGGAAAAGTGAAATTTAATGAACTTTTGATTCTACCAAAGAAATACTTATATTCATGCTTGGTCTTTACAAAGTACAGGCTATTTTAAATGTCCGCAAAAAAAAAGACAAAAATAGCTTCGGGACAGCTCAAGCGAAAGAACAGATTTTTCCAATGTGATTTTTATATTTATTGAAGATTCATTTAACATGGTTCAAATAAAATATGTACTTTTATCAGCACTGGATTTAGAATACTTGTATTGATGCATCAATTCGAGTCGGCCGAGATTTTCGAATGAACTTCTAAGTTAAATTAGGCAAAAAAACTCGAAATGGATATTAAATCAAAGATCTATCTTAACGCTTTTTTTTTAAACTGACATCGTACACAGTCGAACACTTTCTGAATGATTCACATTGATTATAGAAGAAAAGTCAATGATATTTGTGAAAATATCCCAAGATCAAGTGTTTGGAATGATGCATAAGTTCGTTCATTATCATAAATAGTCGCTTACTGAATTATCAAAGAATATTTCTCATTAAAACTGTTCAAGGTACAAGTTTTTCAATAATAATTTCACGTAGAAGATTTGCAGTCTTATCAAAGCATAGCAAATTTCGATAACAATGTAAGCATCCAGTAACAACATAGGGAACAATATTTTTCTTATATAAAGTTGTATTACATTAAAATGAAGATACAATAAACACAACGTTAGATACTGTTATGAAGAGAACTCGCATCTAATTATGACAACTACTGTACAATCGTTGAAAGTCAACGGTTGGTGTACAACACAAAACGATCGATTGATTATACTCTTTTCTGTCGAGAACTGAGAAGATTCGACAAAACCCGCAACATATCATTTTAACAAAACGAATTACGATTGCGAAGTACGTCATATTTTGAACAAAGTCTTTCTTAAAAGATTGATTGGAAGATGCTATTCGCTTCCATAAACTTACAGAATCACTATATTTAATGATATTTAATAATCTTCTGTAACGAAGATACATTGACAGAAAAAAAACAATGTCTACAAGACATATGTGAAAGATTTCGTTGAAATTAAAAAAAAAAAAGAATCGAAAGCAAGGTCAAAGTAATTTCAGAAGAAACTTGATGCGATTTTTTCTTAGAACGTTTTGAAAATAATAAAGTTATCTTTTTCATTTGAACGCAATCATGTTGAACAGCTGGTGTAGATGAAGTTATATAAAACAGAACTT